TGTGTGTTGGTGGCAGCACCTTTAACCCCAGCTCTCAGGCGACAGAGACAGGTTGTTCTCTGTGAGTTCGAGGCCGGCCTGGTCTACCAAGTGAGTTCCAGGACAGCCTCCAAAACAATACAGAGAAACCCTGTCTCAGAGAGAGAGAGAGAGAGAGAGAGAGAGAGAGAGAGAGAGAGAGAGAGAGAGAGAGAGAGAGAGAGAGAGAGAGAGAGAGAGAGATGCAGCAAGCATGACAGGAAGTCAGGGAACTGGCTTTTTAAAAGTTTGGAACACAACTTCTTGGTTCTTTTTGTTTTATTTTGAAAAGGGGTTGTCCCCGAATATCCCAAGCTGGCCTTGAACTCACACTTATCCTCCTGTCTCAGTCTCACAAGTAAATTTGATTCCTTTACACTTGCTGAAGGCCGACAATGTCATAACAACTTTCCCTGAACAGTATAAAATCAGATGAACTTTTCTTGTGTCCAGTGGGTGAAGCATGGCTCCTATGCTTCTGGTGAAACTCTTGGTGCATCTAGAAGACCACTGTATAATATGGATTCTGCGTTTAAAAGGTTCACACATCCCTGGGCATTTGTACCCGTTCCAGCATGCATCTTCAATTCCAGGAAAGTCTTTTAGCATTGGTGTTTATCAAATTAGATGGCACAGCCTCTTGGTACTTGGCAAGCCTGTGCAGAAGCGAACCTTGGGATGCTTTAGTGAGAGTTACTTCCATAAAGACAGAGGCTGCTTAGTTCTGTGCAAACACGGTGGTAACACTTGATCTGTCTGTGTCTTCCTTCCGCTCACACTAGCTCTACTCCCAGTCGGCTGTGTCTCTACTCCACTCCCCCCCCAACTTATGTTTGCTTGAAATCTAACATTTGTGTCCTAACCAAAGGCATAACATTTTCATCAGCTAGCCAGGGCTTTCAGAATAGACTCCTTATGCACAGCACTGGGCAGGAAGGATTCCCTTGTTTATATAATAAGTGTCTGGAAAATTAAGATTCACTTGTAGGTTAGCCAAGCAGTACAATGTATCTCTGCCTTCCTCAGGATTCTGGTCTAATGAGGTGAAGAACAGAATAGCAAGGTTGGTTTTTTTCATGATGTTATTTTGCTTAAAATTTCCAGAAGTGTTGTTTTACCTTCTCTCAGATGTGGACAGGAGAGAACTCCATTGATTGCTTCTCTCTGGGGGCTTTTTCCGTCAGCTGCAATCCCGATCTGATGACACACATCATTTCCAGACTGTACAGGGCTTTCTTTCAGAGGCTAAAATTTTCTTTTCTTTTTAAAAAATCTTCTGTAAGGCATACATGATAACTGAATTCTATTTAAATACAAAAATAATTTTGAGGAAATCGTGGGGGAGTTTTTATTGTATTTTCATGCCACTAGAGCTTTAGAACTGAGTTTAGAGCAAGGTTTTATCTTGTGGAAACCACTTCTTCCCTGTTTGTTTAGCACTGTGTGTGTTGAATGCAATGGGCCCGCTGGGTTACTCTCTAGGATGGCATCTCATTAACTTCTCCCACACACTACCCCTTTCACCTAAGACATTTCTTCCTGACCCTGGGTAGACAAGTATATAAAGTTGGAATGCACACCAAGAATTTGTATTTTAAAACAATTCTTTGCTGTTACTGATTAAAGCAAATTTACATATCAATGAGTTGCTCATGCTTACTTATTCTTACAGAAAAAAATTAAGCCTTGGCTGGTATTTGATACTGGATGCCATGAAGCATCTTCAACACTTTTACGTTCAAATATCCTAACAATGCAATCTAAAGATACACTCTTTTGTTTTCATGCTAAGGAACAACAGTGGGGAAATATCGTCGCCTTTGTTTCCTGTAATTCCTTTGTGTGCACAGTAAAGACATGGTAGTTTCTAACGTACAATGATCTTAAATCAGAGCAGAGGTGTGACAGGCAGCATCTGGGACTACATGTGCAGTGTAAAGTGTATGTGTTGTGTTTTCAGAAAGAAGCTGCAGGGACATGAGCTCTGCCAGAATCACCATAGATTGAGTTTAACTGCAAACTGTGTTGGGGTTTTTGCATGTTCAGAAATCTCTTATTGTTGCCAAATTTTTCATAACCCCCACTCAGTAAATTATGTGACCTCATACAAGGTTATGAACCATGGTTTATGATGCTGTATTTTGAAGAGAGAGAGAGAGAGTACACAATTGTGCATGGTCATGCTTGTGTGAGTGCATGAGTGTGTCGTGCGTGTGTATGTGTGTGTGTGTGTATGTGTGCACGTGCATGCCTGCCAGCCTGCTTGCCTGCTTGCCTGTTTGCCTGCCTGCCTGCCTGCATGCATGCATGCATGTATGTATGTATGTATGTATGTATGTTTGTGTATCTGTCCTGGTGCCCTGGCCAGCAGGGCACAATGGAGGTTGAGCCCAGAGAAACCTGGAATGAGGGGACAGGAGACACAAGAAAAGGACAGCAAAAGGACAGCAAGACAGACTTTCTGATCAAGCTGCAAGATTTTATTTTCCTTAGGGGTGTTATATAGTGGTTAGGGCAGGAAACTAGGTAGGGCAGAGTAATCAAACGAGAGGGGTCATTGTCTAGTAACCAGGCCACAGAATGTTCTTAGTCAGGGGTCACTGAAGGTGAGCAGACAGCAGGTGTTGGCAAGGTGAGAGGGTCGCAGAAGGAGGGGTTAAGTGATCTAATTGTGGATGTTTCCTTTTTTGCCATCGGTGATTCCTGTGAGCCCAAGTTCTATTCATCAGGAAGCTGGGGAGGGGAAAACGGTTGAATGGGCTCTTTGTGTGGGCTCTTGGCAGCCTTTAAAGTTTATAAAACGATTGCTCCTGGCATCTTGGGAAGTAGGAAGTAAAATTAGAGAAAAACAAAATGAGTTTTTGCTTATCTTTCCTCTTTTCATGTATGTTAGTTGAGTCTTTGGGAATAATAGTACAGGTTGTACTCGTTCATTTATTTTATGTGTATGAGTGATTGGTCGGCATGTCTGCCTATCTGCGCTGTGTTCATGCCTGGTGCCTGAAGAGGCCAGGAGAAGGCATTAGATCCCCCAAGGATGTTACAGATGTTTGCAAGCATCCATGTGAGTCCTGGGCATTGAGCCCAGGACCTCTGGAAGAGCAGCCCGTGCTCTTAACCACTGAGCCATCTCTCCTGCCCAAGGAACAGACAGCATTTTAAAGTTTATACTGTAAGTAACTATGAGTTTTTCCCCAACATATCTTTCACTTGGTGTTTCAGTTTGTCACTCACATCTTGTCCTTAGGTTCCCTTTCCTTGTCTCCACAAACCAATCTTTGCAGTAGTTTCAGAGAACCACTGTACTGCCTAAAGCCCCCACAAGCCAACAGCAGTAACCTACTGCCTTCACACCAGTGACATGAGGCTCATAAAACATCTGCTATTTGACCAGCTAAAATTCACTCCATGTGCTAAATCTTAATATTCTCACCTCTTATTTGTATGCAGGCTATTAGTTATCCTATCATGTTAGTTGTAAAACCCTGTCATTAGTTCACATATGATTTTCTAGGCCTGTTGTCCTTGTTAGAACAGTGTAGGAGGCAGAGAGAATACATTTCTAAATACCTGCCTAATCTGGAAAAAGGAGCAAAATTCGTTTTTGCAAAAATCACTCCATTTTTTTTCTTGTAAAAATAGCTTAACGTGCCGGTGTTTGGTGGTGCATGCCTTTAATCCCAGCACTCAGGAGGCAGAGGCAGGCAGATCTCTGTGAGTTCCAAGACAGCCTCCAAAACAATACAAAGAAACCCTGTCTCGGAACCCCCCCAAAAATAACTTAAAGTGTGTATGCATGTGTGTATATGTATTCTCACTCATTTTTCACATAGCATTATTATGACATATACATTGTGAATTTCCTACATAACTTCTTGAGTTACTTTATAAATGTTCATACTGAAAACAAAAATTTAGTTTTTTGATAGAGTTTCATACTTTGGCCTGGGCTGGCCTAACACTCATCAAGTAGCCCAGGCTGGCCTCAAATTTGAGTTGATCCTCCTACCTCAGTTTACCAAGTAATAGGACTACAGATGTGTACTACAATTTCCATTCAATTGTAGTATAAATTGATGGAATGCCAAACATCATAATTCTTGTTAATGTGTATTAATCTTTTGAACATGTTAATGGGGAAAGAAGCTGGCTGCTCTCACCAAAGAGTTTCATTGTGGTACTCTTTGCTGTTTCATGTTGTCTCCGAAGAAAAATAGAAATGCTGTTAGTTATAGAAAGCTGACAAGTTCAAAAAGGTATTGTTTATCAGTAGGTAAGGGATGTAATACTGAATAACTCTGGATTTGGAAGAAACAGTAATTCTCAGGAGAAGTTAAACACATCCATGTAAAATATAAAAGTTGTAGATGAATTTGCGTTATATACAGAGTTACCCCCATTGAAAATGCAGACTTTAAGTCCTGGTGGCATGCACCTGAGTCCCAGCTACTTGGAAAGCTGAGGCAGGGGGATCATTTGAGCCAGGAGGTTGAAGACAACTAGAACAACATTACAAGACACATCTGCAAAAGTTGGCAGGAAGCTAGGCAATGGTGGTAGATGCAGAGGCAGGTGTATCTGTCTCTGTGAGTTCAAGGACAGCCTGGTCTATAGAGCAAGTTCCAGGATAAGCTCCAAAACTACACAGAGCAACTCTGTCTCAAAAAAAAAAAAAAAAAAAAAAGGTGGCAGAAAGAGAAGCCCAACCTAGAAGGCATCGATGCTGTCCACACATGGAATCTGAATGCTATCCATTTCCTCTAGATCCTAAACTGCTGAAGATCTGTAAAAGGAAGGGAGCAAGTGTAAGATAATGCATTTGTCTGTACCCATGGCTCTGTGAGCTTCACTTCAAACCTGGTTACTCCACATTCACAATCTGAAAAGTGGAGGCCTTTTTGTTCATTCCAGCTGGGGACCTTGTGTTGTCCACATCTGCGTATGGAATGAACTCGATCTTTATCTGAATTTTTATCCTATAGGTGCATTGAGAATTACACAGGAGCTCGTTGCGAAGAGGTTTTTCTCCCAAGTGCCAGCATCCAAAGCAAAAGCAATCTGCCGGCAGCTTTCGTGGCCCTGGTGATCCTGGTCACACTCGCCATAGCAGCACTCTGCTTCCTGTGCAGGTAACTGAAGTGGAAACAGACCCCCAGGAAGAAGAAAGCAATGCACAAGGAGCAGCCTCTAAGTAACTAGAGTGCTCTTTACTTCTAGATGCTTCTCCAGATACTGTTTTATGTCCAGCATTATCTCTCTAATACAATTTTGTTACGAACTAATAAGTCACTTTAGTAACCGTTAACTAACTGACTATGGCTTGGATTTGTTCTAAAAATTTTGTATAACAAGTTCCCAAAAGTCCTATGTTAATGATGCTTCAAATGCTGGTCCTTTGGATGATAACTGGGTCGTGGAGGGTCTGCAGAATGAATGGATGAGTCCTTTAATGCATAATGGAAGAGACAGGACTTGTCATTGGAGGACTTTGCTGTTAAGGTGAGCTCTGCCTGTCTTGCTGGCCCTGTCTCACAACGTGATACCCAGTGTCATACCATGACCCAGTTAGATGGTCCTTACTGGATGCTGAACAGTTGTCAATGCCATGGTCTTAGACATCTCAGCATCTGGAACAATGAATTAAATGAACATCTGTTCTTTATAAATTACCCAGTCAATGGTATTTGTAGAGCAACAGAAAAAGATTGATGCAACCCTAACATTTCAAAGGATTAAAAATAGAAGTGTTCTTATTCATAGTTTATAATCATTGTGGATTATATGGATCAGATATGTTTGTATCTAAACATAGCTATGAGAACTCAAACTACAGAGCAGACACCACAAGTGCTGTTGGTTGCATTGCCAAAGGGAAGGCAAGTTCCAGAGTACCTCACACACAAAATGATCTGTCCCAGATGTGACACACTCTGAAAGAAAGAATCCCTATCACAATTACAAAAAGTGTTAGTAAATTCAGCTCACCCGAATGCTGTAAGGTAGAAATCTGGAAGCAGGTCTCACATAGTAATTAATGGATTCATAAGGGGATCTAATATTCCACTGGACTTGCTAAGAGTGACTTGTGTGTGTATTTTTTAATTCATAGAACTTTAATACTGTTACAGTTGTTGCAACTGGATTCCTTTACTAACCTTTGAATTTGTAAAGGTAACAATGTTACATCCCAAATGTCCTAAACGCCACGGAGCCACAAGTTTTCACAAAAGAGCAAAGTCCGGGCACAGTGGCTTACACCTATAATCCTAACACTTGAGAGGCTAACACAGGAGTATTTCTGTGAGTTCCAGGCAAGCCTAGCTACCAGGGGAAACCCTGCCCCAAAAAGAAGCTCCCAAAGCCTGATCTTTAGGGTAGAAAGTGTAGGCATGTAGGTGTGAGGAATGGAAGTCTAAATAGAAAGTCGGTGTTCATTGAAAAAGAAGCCTCTAAAGCCAGGAGTGGTGGCACATGCCCGTGGACCAAGGCTAACATTGACCACTTGGAGAGACCCTGCCTCAAAAGACAAAGATGAAAAGAAAAGAAGGAAACGTCTAATCACAAATGTTAAGTGGATTTTCATTCTAATCCCATGGTATTTCTAATGTCTAGTGGGGGAAAGGTTAAGTGTACAAAGTAGTCTGGACTGCAAATACTGATTGACAGAAACAAGTGTAAATCAGCTCTTGAAGAAGCCACTGTCGTTCTTTACCTTAAAGGGCATCTCACAGTATAAGATTACTCCCTGACATGGGAGAAGAGGCACCACTAATTAGAACTATTCTTGGGAAAACTGGATAATGATCTCTTCTGATTCTAAATACATATTCCAGTATAGTATGCTAAGGAGAAGGCATGCTGATTAATTCCCTCATTATTCACTGTACTGATGATTTGGAAATAGAATGTTCCTTTGATATTGATTAGTTATTGAACAACTTTGTGTAATATTACTGACAATCTAGATTTGGCTATAGTAACTATGAGTTTGCTATGGCTTAAAGTATTCTCCAAATTTCATGCTACAACTGAGAGTGGAACCAGGTATTCAAAATATTCTTCTGTGGGGAGAATCAAACCCATGATATAAAACAAGTATGTTTAATATGTATGAAAAATAAATGGGAGCTGAAGGGATGTCTCAGTGATTAAGAGAACTTGTTGCTCTTACAGAGGAGCTGGGTTTATTTTCAGTACCCACATGGTGGCTCACAACCATCTATATCTCTAGTTACAGGGGACCTAACCCCTCTTCCGAACTCCTGGAACACCAGGCATGTATGTGGTGCATTTACATACATGCAGGCAAAACTATCATACACAAAAATAAAATATAAATATAAAATTAAAAAATAAATGATATATTTACAAAAGAGCAGATTTTGCAGAGGCCAATACAGAAATTGAAAAAAATAAAATTAACCTAAAAAGTTCAATATAGTTCAATATTTTTAAAGTTTAGTTTGTGTTTTTAACCAGACTAGAAGCAGTAAGGGGAGGGATGAAGGAAATGAGGAGAACACTGGAAGAGAGATGAATGAATGAAAAGGTATTCCAAACCTAAGAAAAAAGAATTGCAAAATAATTAAGGAAAGGTCAAGAAGCATGGCAAACAGAGTGATGATCTCTAATTTTCTTTCCTGTGCTTTGAGGAAAAAAAGACTTAGGACAGTGTTTGAAGAGGGTAGTAGCTGAGACATTCAGAATTTGTAAGTGACCCACAGATTTAGCAAAAGTCAAGCAGGTTAAAGAGAAACCCTCATGCATAGCACAGCCTCATAAAGCACAGAACCCCAGTTCTAAAGAGAGAATGCTAAAGTAGAGCAGACTACAGGGACAGGAGTCATAGGGCAGAGGCGAGGCCCCAGTGATGTTTGCAGTGTGCTAAGTGCAGGTGACCAGCAGCCCCGACCTCTGTAGCACTGAAAACATCTTTCAAGAATGAGGGAGAAATGAAGATAGTTGTAGATGTGTAGACATTAGTTATTTCGCATGAGCCTTCCCCAGGGCTGGAGGAGAGCTGACTCTCCTGGGTGTGTGTCAGATGCAAGAAGGAAGAAAGAAGTTTCAACAATAAAGGTATCGCCCTATGTGTTTTTAAGAGTGGACAATCTATGCAGCCAAAAATGACCTTGACTGCATATTTTCCTAACCTCCACCTCAAAGATGTTGTGATGCAGGAGTGTGCTACCATTCCCAGCTGAGTGATGATGCTTAAACAATGAGTATTGTTTTTCACCCTTCCAGTATCTTATAAAAGTCATAAAAGTTAGATGCTGGAAGCCTGAATATTTAGAAAATGGATATAAATTTAATTAAAAAATAGCATTTGCCTTATAAAAATAACATGTCAAAATAAATTTCAGGTCAGACAGAAATGTGCTTGAAATCACACGTTTTCTTTTTGTATGTGTCCATGTACATGTGAGTGTATGTGTACTTGTGTGTGCAGGCAAAAGAACAATACCAACTGTCATTATCCAAGTGTTGTCGACCTTGCTTGGCCTGGAATTCACCAAGTGGGCTAGGCTGCCCAGGCCCCAGAGATCCACCTGTCTTACCTCCCCAGCGCTTGACTAGCAAGGGCACAGCCCACATTTAACTGTTATGGATTCGGGTTCTGGGGCTCCTCACGCTCACAAGGCAAGCACTTTGCCAAGTGAGCCATCTCCTCAGCTCTTTTTCCATTTTTGATGACAACTTGAGGTAACACATGTCCTAACCACAATGGGAGAATCAATCCAGTCATTATTGCTCGTGAGATCTAGACAATGGGAGAATCAATCCAGTCATTATTGCTCGTGAGATCTAGACCTACCTAGGCTTCCTGCTGTTGTCTACTGACTTTGTGCAGTGTTTCTGGACTTAGTAAGGTTCTTTCAAGAGGGAAACTAAGTCAGGCATGGTAGTGTGTCCCTGTGACCCTAGCACTTAGGAGGGTAGTAGTGTGTCCCTGTGACCCTAGAACTTAGGAGGGTGGTAGTGTGTCCCTGTGACCCCTGCACTTGGGAGGGTAGTAGTGTGTCCCTGTGATGTCATAACTTGGGAGACATAAACAGACACAAAGATTGCCAAGTTCTAGACCTGCCTAGCATACGAAATGAGACCCTGTCACCAAAAATAAAAAAGGGGTGTCTGGAAAGATGGCTCAGTAAGAGAGCTTGCTGTTCAAACATGAGGGTGTGAGTTTGAATCTCCAACAACCACATAAAATCTGGGCATTGATGCATGTGCTCACAACTCCAATGTTTGGGGTTGGGTGAAGACAGTGGGCACAGATTACTAACCAGTTAGTCTAGCTGAAATGGTGAGAGACCCTGTCTCAAGGGAGTAAAGCCCAGAGTGATAAAGACACCTGACCTCCTCCTCAGAGCTCCACATGGGCAAACATGCAGAGCACACACACACATACACACATGCACACACATACATAGACATACACTCATATACACACACACATACACAAACTCATACACACACATATATAAACACATGCACATACACATATATACACACTCATAAATATACATAAATGCACACATACACACATATACATACACACATACAAATGTACACAGATACACACACGAGTGTACTAGAATATTATTTTAAGATTCTTTGACCTGAAGGCCTTTTGAATTTTCTGTAACTTAGAAATGATGTTACTTGAATGAGGTCCAAAATGCCCCCTGCCCTCAATGCTAAAACGTCTGCTAGAATAGACAATTTAGGGTAGAGGTCAGTGGGCTTTTAGAAATTGTCATGTTGTACCGGCTAGATGCTATGGATTCATTTTCACAAAGTTAATACATTGAGATTGGCATATTGAAAAAAATAATTCACCTTTACATTTCAATTTTCATTTAATATTTAAAGCAGTTCTATATAAGGTTATAATCAGATGACCCAAAGAAATGGTATTTTAATGTCATGAATTCGAATTGTTCACTAAAGTCACCCATGGTACATAAAGGGTCCACAGTGATGGGATGTGATCTCTGTTACAGAAACACCTGTGGCACAGTACCTGGGCCATGCTGTAGGCTCAGCAGCTCCCTGATGTCTCTGCCACCTCTGCTGGTGGGTTGGCTAAATACGGGTACAACATTAGAGCAACCCTATGACTTTAGGTAGTTCTAAAAAGTGAATGCCTTCCAATGACTTCCAAATAGTCAATTTTAATTTCCATTTGTATTTCTCTCCTCTTTGATGCCAGGAAGGGCCATCTTCAGAGGGCCAATCCTGCCCAGTGTGAGATCAGCCTGGTGGAGAGAAGCAGTACCAGTGCCCACCACAGTGAGTACACTCAGAATGGAATGTCGGGAGGGATGGGTGAAACCCTTGGTCTGTGTACAGACTTGTGCTCACAGCCATTCAATCATGGGTGACCCTAAGGATTTTTCAGCAGATTTTGTGTTAATAATTAATTTTGCACATGAGGATAAATTTATTAGCAATGTGACAACGTATTTTCTCAAAATAAATATGTGAATTTTAACCATTGAAATGATGCCGTCAGCTGTAATGTGCTATGGCAGACCTGAGGAAAAGGGTTCCAGAAGCATTCTCAGGTGGGCTGTGCTGGGAAGGCAGGGGCAGGGAGTTACCTTAGGAGTGAGAGAGTCTTTGGGAGAACTGTGGACAAATCAGTGTTTTTAAGGTATCTTGAGGTTTTCACCTAAACTAGAACAGCAAGTGCTGGATTTCCTTCCTCGTTCTTGAAAACAATGAAAAATGGACAAACTGTGAAGCAACAGTTGACCTCTGGTCTCAGCATGAATTTGTATCTATGTGCACATGTGCACACGCACAGACATGCACGAACGCACGCATGCACACACACACACAGAGTAAAATAAGTCTTAAAATAAAAACAACAACTGGGTTAGGTGGCATGCTCCTATAATCCTACTGCAGGAAAAGCAGAAACTGGAGGACCTCTGGGGTTTGCAGGCCACATAATCTCTCTGTTTCAGTAAGACCCAGGCTTAGTGGGAAGACCCTATCTCAAAAAACACTGATAATCAAGGAGGAGCAATATCAACTACACAAAAATTAGATGACATTCCTACCAATATGGCAAATGGGGTGGTAGATTTGGCATAATTTAGATTAAATAGACAATTTCTTTGAAGAACAAAAACTACTGAAGAAAGAGGTAATTTGAGGGCTGGGGATGCAGTCGTAGGTAGAGCTGCCTGCCTAGCGTGCAAGATACCCTGGTTCTGTCTTCAACACTGAATAAAACCAGGAACCTTTATATGCTATAATTCCAGCACTTAGGAAGATCAAAAGTTCAAGGATATCTCGGCTTCAATGATGTCAGCCTGGGCTACACAGGACCCTGTTTCAGAAAAAAAAAATCTGAAGAGTAATATGGAAAGTTTAAAGTTTTTTTTTCTTTAGATAGTTCAAATAGTTCCATATCCATCGATTGAATTTGTATAGAAGCTTTTCTTCAGTGACAGTCCAGGCCCAGATAGCTGAACTTATGTCAAACTAATCTACATAAGTTCGTCTAGAAACATTAAAGAGAGTATGGCATTTGAGACCAGCTTGTAGTTTAGCAATGTTACAAGAGAGAGTGTTACTATTAAAACTAAAGTATATTTCCATGTATCAGAAACTGCTAGATACAGAAACTTTTAAAACAACACACCATGTGTGACAGCATCTCAAAGTACACAGGGTAGTGAAAAAATGTGAAAAGCACTGCAGGACGCTGTGGCGGTCTGGATGAGAATGGCCCCCAGAGGCTCATGTGTTTGAACATTTGGTTGGAAGTTGGTGGAACTGTTTGGGAAGGATTGGAGGAGGTGTGGCTCTATGAGGGGACTTGGGGGTTTTTTAAGATCCATGCCATTCCCAGTGTGCTCTCCACTTCCTGCTTGTGGATCAAGATGTGAGCTCTCAGCTGTATCCCTGACAATGTCTTCAGCTCGCTATCTTGCTTCTTCACCACGACAGGCTTTTGGGCATCTGGGACCATAAGCCACACGAATCCTAACTATAAGCCAAATAAACCCTTCCTTCTGTGAGTTACCTTGGCCAGTGTTTTAATCACAGCAATAGAAAAGTAACTAATATAGATCTGCAAAGTTAAGTCTGCAGTTGTGCTAAGAAAAAAAGAGAGACCAAACTAAGCAGAGGGATTGCTGTGTTGAAGGGTTTGGAAAATATTAAGATGTCAGTTCTCTTCAAATTGCAGAGAGACTTATGCCATCCCAATAAACCCAGAAGGTGTTTTTGTGACAGTCGACAGGGTGGCTGTAATGTGTCTCTGAGAATATGAAGGGCCTAGGATAGAAAAGCAATGGTGTAATAGCACATTGGAGGGCTTACACTATCTGACCTCCAGCTTATGGCCAAACTACTGTAATTCCGACAGCATGGTGCTAGCATGGAGGTGGATATGGGCTCCAGACATGGACCCCTAAACAGCAGTCTAACAGAATACAGTGACAGTCCAATACCCACATGCAAGAAAATAAATGTATTCTGTCCATATTCCATATACTAGAATAACTCAAGAAACTTGTGAATTTAAGAACTAAAATATAAGTCTCTTAGGAGAAAGTCTTTAAGCCATTAGATTAGGCAAAGATAGAACATGAAAAGCAAATTGGTAAATATTTGATATACAGGGCTGTATGAAAATGACAGATTCCTATGGTTCAAATGATTTCACTGTAAAAATGAAATACAAGGCACCAAATAGGAGAAAATATTTGCAAATCAAAGATCTGATGGATGGCATAAAATATACAAGAATTTAACTGAGTGTTGGTGACGCACGCCTTTAATCCCAGCACTTGGGAGGCAAAGGCAGATGAATCTCTGTAAGTTTGAGGCCAGCCTGGTCTTCAGAGTGAGTGTTCAAGGACAGCCAGGGCTGTTACACAGTGAATCTCTCTCTGTGTGTCCCTCTGTCTCTGTCTCTCTTTCTGTGGTTGTGTGTGTGTGTGTGTGTGTGTGTGTGTGTGTGTGTGTGTGTGTGTGTGTGTACCTGTTCAACTGAAGTTGATACAAACTCAGGAAATAACTGAACTAAAGTGTGGGCATTTTACCAGAGAAAAGACTCAAATGGCTAATAAGCACATGAAAAATACTTGACATAGTAATCCATTAAAAGATTAAAAAGCCAACATGAAACACCAAAATTAACACACTGCTGTGATCTTTTTAAAGTCTGTGGGATATGGGAAAGCACATTTCATTGTTATAACTATAAAATGGTTTGAACAGTTTCTTTTTTCTTTTTTTGGTTTTATGAGACAGGGTTTCTCTGTATTGTTTTGGAGGCTGTCAGACCAGCCCGGCCTCGAACTCACAGAGATCTGCCTGCCTCTGCCTCCCAAGTGCTGGGATTAAAGGTGGCAGTGCGCCACCACCACCCGGCTTGAACAGTTTCTTAAGGAACAAGTTTGTATGGCACAACAATTCCCTCCTAGTCAGTCACGCAAGTAGATGACCCCGAATGCTCACAACAGCGTTCCTCCCGGTAACCAGAGAGTGGAAATCACCCAAAGTCTGTTGCTATGCCGGTAAAATGGGCAGTCATAGCTGTACAAGCACAGCATACTTGCACATAGTGTCACATGATCAAAGTCACTTGCGCTGTGTGGTAGAAGTTTCAGAATGCCCTGTGTGCATTAATATAAAGATATCAAGATGTATGAGTGAGTTCCTAAGGTTTGGGGTTGGAAGGAATAATGACCGCAGATAGCCCTGAAAAATATTTCCAGCATAATGCATATGTTTAAAAACTGGGTCATGGCTGTGGCTGTACGATGGCAATTTTTTTTAAGTCAGTGAACAGTATATAAAGGTGAATATTTTAAGTTGTGGGTTATATCTTAGTAAACTTGCTAGAAGTCAAACTTTCAACTAAGAATACCAGGCTGGGTATGTGTGTACTAAAAAACGAGGCTGCGCTAATACCACTATATACAACATGAACTCAAAGTGGAAGAGAGACATTACATATAAGACCCAAAATTATAAGACTTCTAGAAAAACCGGAGAAGTGCTCTACAAAGTTGGACTTGGAATGATTTCTTGTATGTAACACCTAAACAGAACCAACTAAAAAATTTAGATAAACTGGACTTCATCAAAACTAAAAGCTGATGAAATTAAAGAATACTGTTTACAAAGAGTCAGTCCACAGAGTAGGATAAAAGGCTTTAAACCCATGCAACTCCCGGATTTAATACAGAGAAGTCATTTCATATGTACATCTGTGTTCATGAAAACAGACAGACTTTTTGAGGGGCGAGGGACTTTCCTGGGGAAATGTAAAGAAACATCTGTTTACCTCAAACAAGAGCAGACAGACCTAAGAGAGAGTCTGCCAGTCAGCTTGGCATGATAGATGAGTTCATTAGGGTTACGCATAGGGGCACAGGGGACACAGGCACACCAAAGAGCTAAGCCCCACTCATGGAGCTCTAATTACGGATGGTTCCCAGTTGGCAGCAGAACTGGTATAAACCTGGGCTCAGAGTGCTACCTAGTGTTAAGTCAGGAGAGGTGGCTGCAGACTCAGGCACCAGCACACAGACAACGCAGATCTCGGAAGCTTAGCACCCATGTGGATGCTGCCTTTCTTTCTTGCAGAGCTTCGCTGGTCTCAACAATCAGTGACCAATTCTAGAAACACATGCAGAACATTTAAATGGTATCTTATTACAGATGAGGTTACTCTGCCAGAGCTCAGGGGGCTAATCCCACAGACAGGAGGAAGTGACAGGGCAGGGTGCGAGACACTGAAGGTAGTAGGGGGGTAAATGTAATGTAAGCAGCATGCAATCATACATACATACAAACATACATACATATATATACATATATATGAAACCAATTGCTTTTTGTTGTTGTTTGTTTTTTGTTTTTTCGAGACAGGGTTTCTCTGTATTGGAGGCTGTCCTGGAACTCGCTCTACAGACCAGACTGGCCTCGAACTCACAGAGACCCGCCTGCCTCTGCCTCCCGAGTGCTGGGATTAAAGGCATGCGCCACCAACGCCTGGCTGACACCTATTGTTTTCATAGAAAATAGCAGGAAACAATCCTGAATAAATAACTCATAACAAATAAAAACAGCCAAGTTTGAAAACTGGCAGAGGATTTCAATAGACATTTCTCCAAGAGTATGTAATGTGTTCAGCATCACCGACTGCTGGGGTCATAAAAAGGGGGGTGTGGACCCCTCACACATTAGGACAGTGGCTGTTTGAAGACCATGTGTTGGCAAGGATGTGTAGAAACTGGAACCCTTGTGTATTGCTGGTAAAAATATAAAATGTTATAGTCACCGTGATAAATGGTATGACAGGTCTTAAAACAAAACCACAGAATAACCATTTTATTCAACAGTTGACTACTGGGAGTTACACGCACAAGTGAATATCTGTACACCCACAGTCATAGGAGCTGAATTAGAAATAGTCAAAAGGTGTAAAACCACTCAGATGTCCAGTGATGTATGAGTGTATAAAATAAATGGATGCATATTAATGGAGCATTACTTAGCCTTAAAAGGGAATATAATTCTAATACTGCAATATGGATGAACTCTGAAGACATTATGCTAAGTGAAAAATCCAGATGCCAAGCAAGCACCATGTAACTCACTAAGATGAGATGTTAGAGCAGTCAGATCCCCAGAGACAGAAGCTGTAACGGTGGTTACCAGGGACTATGGAGAGAGTTGTTTAATGTGTAGGGATCATGGTCATTCCTATTATGTAATTTGACTTAATGTCACTGAACTTGACATATTTCACAAAGAAGTCAACCATTTAGAAGGACATACCATCATTAATGATGTTATCAGATGATGTATTGAGCTTCCATGTGCTCAACATGATCAATTTCAAGATACTAAGAGAACGTATCCCTTACTGTGTCACTTAGTGGCGCCTCTCCTTAGTGGTTTGATGGTTGATTGGCCTTGGCTTACTCTGAAGTGATGATGTCTGGAGTCACACTGTTTGCTAATATACTTGATGGTGACCCGACCAGTCAAAGTCCTCAAAGAAAACTCCAAGGGCTTATCATTGTGCTGTTAGCTGGGAAGTTAACACAAACAGGCCAACCCAAAAGGGTGGTGTGGGGAAACAGCACTCTGCATGTATGTCCGTGTGAGGGCATCAGATCCCCTAGGACTGGAGTTATAGACAGTTGTCAGCTGCCATTGTGGATGCTGGGAATTGAACCTGAGTCCTCTGGAAGAGCAGCCAGTGCTCTTAACCACTGAGTCATCTTTCCAGCCCAAAATGGATATTTTTTTTTTTTTGGTTTTTACAAGACAGGGTTTCTCTGTATTGTTTTGGAGTCTATCGGTCCAGCCTGGCCTCGAACTCACAGAGATCCGCCTGCCTCTGCCTCCCGAGTGCTGGGATTAAAGGTGTGCACCACCAACGCCCGGCCAAAATGAATACTTTTAATGGAAGAAAAAAGGCAGTAAGACCAAAAGCCAAAATAGGATGAGTATTGGGCTTAGTTTACAAAATTAGCTTATCTGACCAGGAGTTTCTCTGACGCCAAACAACATTAGTTCTAAGGCCATAACACAGCAAAAGAGATAAGGTCTGTGTGGTGAGAAAAAAGTTGGACTCTGAGGTGAGCCCATTATAGACAGTAGGACATGCTCAATAGCCTCAGCCCAGACCTGTGTTGTGAAAATTATAAAGGCCAGAGGACATATTCAATCACAGTGATGATGGGCACCACCCTTAAAACCTTGATTCAGTCTGTCGGGGACTGGAACAGGTGTATCTGTGACGAAGGCCTCTCGGCAACCCTCCTTACTAGTTTGGTTAGAAAACCCACAGCTTCAAGTCCCAGCACATATTACATTGTTCATGTCCCTGACACCCATGACTTAATCATGAGCTCCTGTGTTTCAGATGTGACAACTTCCGAGAGTCTTAAGTGGGTGGTACTTTGTATACAGAGGAAAATGGAGGCTCAGAGGTCAAGCTTTTGTATCTAGACACCAGTAGAGCAAGAATTTAAGCCCAGATGAGCCTGGCTTTCCAACCTGTGCCTTTCTTTCTTTCATTTTTAGGAGGGGAGGTGTGCAGGGGTCACAGGACACTAGTATGGAGTCAGTTCTGTTCCTTGCATGGCTGGGCTGTTTGCTGGCCTCCGCACCCATGTTCCCTACTGCACATGACCTTCCACAGGTCCTTGGGAATTGCTGGTCAGAGCGGCTTTGTCCCCAGGGCTCTCCCAACCTTGCATGTGATATCTCTACCATGTTTGGTGTCTGCTTCCGTCTTTGCTATCAGCAACTGGCTCTGGCAGTCTCCCCGTCACCCTAGACCAATCACTAAGCTTGTTAGAACCCTAGGCAGCAGAGAGAGTGCAGGAAGGCAGGACTGTACACTTGAGAGACTAGCACGGGGATGCTGACTCACCGGGCACAGGTGCTGTGGGGCAGCTGCTGCAGGTGTGGATGTCTGAGGTAAGTTTACCTCGTCTTCTGCCACAGGTGGAATCAGTGCATTTATGCATGCAAGTAAGAGGCTAGATGGGTGTGTGTATGCAGAAAATCCAGTGTACAAGTGCAATCTTACCTTCTACAGGTCACAGAGATCATTGAAGACACATCCAGTGAAGGTCACTTTTGTGATCACCTCACACAGGCAGAAAGGGAACCGTACGGTGAGAGAAGGTAACACCTTAATTCTCCTTTCCTGAGACATAAGACTTGGTAAACGGTCCTACCCAAGGCAGCCTGTTTAGGGTGCTAGGTGTGGAGGCCCAATGGGACAATCACAATGGACCCAAATCCTGAGCAATGTCTGAAGAAAGAAAAAGATGAAAGTTTCTTTAGTGAAAGGAGTACTGATTTATAAGACACCTTACCCAGCCAGCTAGGTCTGGTGCAAATGCCTTTAATTCCAGAATTTGAGCCTAGCTTGGTCTACAAAATGAGTTCCAGGATAGCCAGGACTGTTACCCAGAGAAACTATGTCTTGAAGAAACAAAACAGAACACTTCACGTCACTGTTGGTTACTGAATGAAAGAGGCAGCCCTGAGCTTAGTTTGACTCAACGGTGGTCCCACTGGCAACTTTGCCACATTAGTGTGAAGCTGGTACTCATTCAATAGAAACTGAATTTGTATCTTTTTCCAGTCTCAAAATATATGGTAAGTTCTCATCAGGTATTAGCCATCAGCACAGCAAATTATCTCATGATTCCTTTCAGCCCATGATCAGGACAGCGGTGGACACCAAAGGTGGCTAAGCTACAAAGTTTTGTTAGGTGAAGTGGGTAGTAAATGTATTTTGATTCATGAATATTCTCAACTTCTAAAAGGTTTCACAAGCTGTCACTCCATAGTAAGGGGAGGCTTGCTCAAGAAATCTGGGCAGACAGTGTAGTTTCCACCCACCCCCTCCCTCTCAGCTCCTTTAGTAAATGCTTTGCCCTAGCAGAGCACATTGATGCTTTAGGATTAGCTCAAGCCTAAAGGTTAAAGCTCCTTTTTGTTGTTGTTTCATGCATTTTTGACAAATGCCTGTGGTGTATCCATTGTTACATGTTACCAACTGTGTGTTTGTATAAATATGAATATATATCCATACACACAGTTATAAATACAGCATGCTGAGGTCACTTTGTGTTGCTTATATATGCTTAGGGATTGGCTAGCCCATCATAGGGCTTATCCCTGGAGAAAGCAGATTCTCTCTCGGCAACCAATGATTGCTTGCATCTCTTCTAGGAGTGAAGGTTTTTAAGTATTTCCCCATCCACACTGTCATCTCAGGTGGTAGTGCCATCTTAAGGTCTTGTTTAGTCCATCATATTGTTGAGGTTTCTTGGGTGCACTTCCCTGTTCTATCTCGAAGCAGACGTCCAATTCAGGACCTCAGGCTCTTTCCTCCCCCACCTTCCTCCATGTTCCCTGAGCCTTAAGTGAATGGGTTGGGTTGTTGAAGTATCATTTGGGGTTGGTTACACAGTCAGCAGTTCTCTGCATTTTGACCACTCTGTGCATTCCTGTAATGATCTCCATGTACTGTAAAAAGCTTTTTTGATGATGAGTGACATTTATTGGCAAGTATAAATATTTAGAATGCAGTTAGAAATTATACTGGTTTTGTGAGATGGTCTAGAGGTCATGGTTTATCAGCCACAGGGTGTGGGCTAGGTTTGCAGTGCCAAACCTCAGTCCCCTATTGAGCAAGCCTTAAATCCAATTAAATGACTATTCCTGAGATTTAAATGCTGTTATTGTACTGCCCAGGTCTGGCCTGTATTGGCCCCGTGCTGCAAGGGCCATCTACTCCAGACTGAAGTCTTTGGGGCTGAGTTTGGAACCAAATGAACAGCCCCAGGTCCAATCCAGAGTGGGAGAGTGTGGATGAGGGAAGGCCTAGCTACCCAATAGATGTTAAGGACGAGACCGAGACTTCTGGTCATGACAGGAGGGTTCCCCATCAATACTGGAGACCACAGTTTATTCAAGTATCCTCTTAAGTAACATCCAAAAGTGGGGGCAATGGCAGAAGACATCTATTGTCATGTATATATATATTGGAAATACTTCCTTTAATCCTAGAGACACCCCTAAGCAGCACAGACTAAGTCCTCAGACACTCCAATCTGCACATCTACTAGCCTTCAGCATAGACTCACCCAGGCCGAGGTCTTTTGTTATACAAAATAGGAACCATTCCCCACCAAGGCCAGGCCATCGCAATATCTAAAAGACAATAGAAGTTCTGAGCTCCTAGAATTTGTGGCTGGGCAGAGCATCTTTCTGAAATATTACACTTGGGCCCTGACATTGTACTTTTCAAATATCTTGCTATTCTGCTCATCGTTCTTTTAATAACAGTTCAGCATTACTCAGTGTGGATGTATTCCATTCTGTATACCATGCAAAGATATTTGAATTATTATTATCTGTAACAATATGCTATGATATATACTACCAGACCACTGCTTTTATTTTAAAGTATTTCAAGTAGAATTTCTGTATCAAATTATACTTTTGCTTAATTTGGCAAGGATCATATTGTTTTCTTTGACAGATCCACCGCTTTATTTTACCAGCAGTGCAGGGTCTAATACTTTTTATGCACCTGTGTTACTGTGTGTACAGGAGGAAAATGGGAGAGAGAGATAGGGAGAAGGAAGATACCCGCCATCCTAATGGGTAATGTCTCATTGGGGTTTAACCTGCATTTCCCTGTGCATCAGTGAAGTTGACCACACAGCCAGTGTTTTTAGTCATTTATGTACCTCTTTTGGAGACCTGTTTAAGTCCCTGGCCACTTGTGCATTGTTGCACTGTAATTCTGTGTTCTGGACACTGAGTCCTTTATCATGGGCTGCAAATATACTTTCCAGACCTATATATGACCTTTTTGCTCTTTAAGTATGATATATTTTCATGTCATGCACAAAATTTTAATTTCTGATTAGCCTGGTTAGGTTTATTTTTTGGTCCCTGAAAATGTGGTAGCAACACAAAATCACTATAAAATTCATTATCCTGATGTTTTTCACTGTTTTCTTCCAAGACTTATATTTATTTACCTACTAAAGTTTTTAAAATCTATTCTGAGTTAATTTTAATATATGGTATAACTTAAGGTCCTAGCTCCAGCACTATTTTCTGGAAGATTACCTCTTCCTTATTGAAAATAGTCTTGGTCCTTTTGTTAAAAATCACAGCTATAGATGTCCCCTTGTAAGGCTTTCTGTTTCATCAGTTAATCTTGATGCCAGGGTCACTCTGTTCTGGGGCAGATGACTCATCCTACTCTGTATTCAAGATCTGTCATTCCACATCCCTTGAGATCATATCTGAACTCCAGGGCGGGTTTTTCTGTCTGGACAAACAAAACCAGCACTGTGAGGTTGTGATTTAGGTAGGGATTACACCGACTCTGTAGATCACCTCAGGTAGTGCCAACCTTTTACAAGTCCCAGCCCATCGACATCGATGTGTCCCATCGTTTCTGCGGCAGTTCCCGCCTCTAGTTAATTCTCAATATTTGACTCTTCTTGATGCTGTTGTAAAAAGAACTGCTCTAATGTTTGATTGTTCAAGTATAGAAATGTTGCTGGTTTCCTGGGTTGACCTTGTGCCCTGATACTATGAGTAGTTTTTCGGTTCTGAGTCTTTTGTGGAATCTTTAGTTTTCTGTGTGTAAGATCACATAATCTGTGAACAGACAATGTTACCTTTTTCCAGTTTGATGCCTTTCTTTTCCTTGTTTAGCTGCTCCAGCCAGTCCATGTTGACGAGCAGTGGTGCAGACAGTCCCTTCTTCCCATCCTAGAAAGGCCACTTCCCTACCAGACAGGAAGTTTGCCATGGGTGTTCTCATGGTGGCTTTTATGTTGATGTAGTTTCCCTCTACTTCTAGTTGGTTTTCACAATTACAAAGGAATGATTTTTACCAAGTGGCTTTCCTGTTTTTCCTTGAAAACAAAAGTGCCCCACTGTGCAGTGGTTTGCAGCTGTCTGTCCCACAAATCCTCCGTGCTGGGTTCACATGCGTATACTCTTCCTGTTCCTGCTTTCTTCCTCTTTGTTCCTTCTGTCCCCATCAACCTCTCAAAGTCTCTGGTGAGGTCATTTTTTTTGGGGGGGTAGCTTTTCATAATTCCTTTCTCTTAGTGGACTCTGATTCCTATAGCTCCTGCAAGCATACTGAAGTCTCCAGGAAGTTTAACATTGGACTTCATTAGAGAATGTACCAGCATATTTCCTTTTCAGTCATCTGTGTGCAGACTCTCAGACGCATGCCCCAGCATATGGAGGTCAAAGGACAACCTTCATCAGTCAGTTCTCTTCTTCCATCACCTGTGTCGTGGACATCAAACTCAGGTTGTCAGTCTTGGTGGCAAGTACTCTTACCTGCTGAGCCATTTTGCTAGCATTTATCTTTCTTTGAATGAACCTTGTTTCTCTTTCCTCTGAGTGCCTGTTAGTTTCCATTTTGGGTATGTCATTATTTTAACAATATCAACCCCTACCCCACCCCATTCTATCTGAAGGTTTGCTGATTTGGTTTTTTTGTTGTTGTTGTTTTGTTTTTGTTTTTGAAGACAGGGCTTCCCTATATTGTTTGGAGCCAGTCCTGGAACTCGCTCTGTAAACCAGGCTGGCCTCGAACTCACAGAGATCCACCTGCCTCTGCCTCCTGAGTGCTGGGATTAAAGAAGTGTGCCACCAAATGACCGGCTGATTTGTTTTTTTTAACAAAAGATATCACCCACTTGCATTCACTCTCCCAAACCTTTCACTGAAGTTACCCCCTTTTTGTGTGATCCTTCATTTAAACTGCTCACCCCCTTTTAAAAACTATTTACACAGCAATCCCCCTTTTAGGACAGTTTCCTTTGACATGCAGTTATTCAGAGCTTGGGGAGCAGATACAGTTGAAAAGTCAGGGTGTTAGACCTTTAGAACAAGTGATGCTGTTGTGGTTGATTTGGAACATTCTAACTTCCCAGTATCTCTCTTAAAGGGACAACTTTACATCTCTACATATCTTCTCTTGACTCTGGCATTTGTGGATCTTTGCAACTTTTTTTTTTACAAATAATTATTTTTTATTTAGGTGATGTTTGCAACTTTTAACAAGCAGTGCCTACCAAAACCAAAGAAACCCAATCAACCAAGCACCTTGTATAAGCACCTCAGGTACTATCCAGAGGGGCTACAGACACACTTAAACCTACAGATATGGTCTCTTCCACATCATCCAGCTTATGAATGAGAACTGGGCTTAAGAATCACTGTCACAAGGGAGAGGAGGGGCTGAAAACATCACAGAACCTAGCCACCATTTTGAAGATGGATTTTCTTGATTAGGTTTTCTTTTTGTTGGATGTACCTGCTTCCTAGAGTGCCAACAAAGCCGGCTCCACAGTTGGCTTATACTTGTTGCCTTCTCTGCTAAGGAACACAGCTAGGAGTTTCTTTTTCTTTGCTGATGTCTCTGTGGTCAGTGTGCTTCGCTCCTGCCTGTAACTCTATTATTGGGAGACTGTGAACTAGGTATGTATACTGAGTAAATGCAGTGTGACTGAATCCTGGACAGTAAGAAATATGTTAAGACAGTGGTCTCAAATTGTTTCTCAGTCTAATCATTAGCTATTAAAACCAACACCATCATGCTGTTTTTGTCTGTTACTGACCTGAGCAAAAAACAGGGCAAAAACTTGCCAAGCATTGGTGGCTCACACCTTTAATCCCAGCACTTGGGAGTCAGAGGCAGGCAGACCTCTGTGAGTTCAAGGCTAGCCTCGTCTACAGAGCAAGTTCCAGGACAGCCTCCAACAATACAGAGGAAACCCTGTCTCAAAAAACCAAAAAACTTAAATGTAAGTGTTCCACACTCTCCAAAACATGTGACTTTATTAACGACTTGTGCTAGGTTTACACCAGCACATATTCTAGAAACTGACCTCCAGATGTGGCACAGGACAGAAGTGACATATCCACAACAAAGGCAACACACCTGGCAGGTCACTGCTCATCCCTGAAAGGGGCCAATATTAAAATAACTTTTTCGTAACTGTACACAGTAACAATGCCAGTTTACCCTCAAATAGCATTTTTACTATGGAGCCTGCTATGCTCCAATATTTCCAGCCCAACATTACCCAGTCAACAACTGAAAAACAAAGTGAATCGTTTTCATTTTCATGGTTTTGCAGTTTTCTGCTTCCATCAAAACTGAATTTATAGTGACGCTAACTTGAGCCAGACTTTGTGGCTATAAAAGGACAAAAATCACTTGTTTTTCCTATTGAAAATTTCCACCAGTTGTCTAGAAAGCGCTCAGATTTCTAAGTATTGCTGTAATTTTTAAAAATTTTTATCTAATTTTTTACACATATTACTTTCAGTTCCCTTTCCCTCCCCTCCCTACTGTAATTCTTTGCATGTTCATTTTGTTCAGTTTGAAGCGCAAGTTTCCTAGGTCAAGATCCAGGTTTAAACAAAACAGAAAACTAAGATAATAAGGCCTACTAGACAAGCCATCACACTAGTATTCTGCCTGCTGGGTCATTTCTGCACCTCCATGCTAAGGTCTCACCTGCCTTTTCATTGGATCAAGAGAATGGAGATGCATTTCTTGATGCAGCCCTTTTTAAACAAACAGGTGCCCCAGCCACATTTTCACTTGGAAGTACACCGAGAAGTCTATGCTTTCAAAGCCTTGCTGGGGGACTACCTGGGCCTTGAGAAGGCAGCGGTGTGTAAACAACCTTCACTGTTGTGCTCCTGTCATCTTAACAATGTGATTATGTGCAGGTTTCTAAGTGTCTGTAGCAGTTACCATTTTTAGGCATTAGTGGTTGTTGTTGTTTTTGGCAAACAAGCAATTACTTAATACTTGTATTTGATTTTACCTAACAATTATCTAGTGTCCTTTTAGTATAAACCACTGACCATTACAGAAATGACACTCATCAGTTACCTTGTAAGCATATCCTATAACAAATACCTGGTCCAAATCCATGTTAACTTTTGCCCTGTAGAACAGTCTAGAAACAGGCAGCATAGGTCCATTATGGAAGGTACAGACACCTAAGATTGCTGTAGTCCTCTCCACAATGGTGTACTGATCTCTCTGCAGTGTCCAAGGTGACTCATGACCTGCCCATACTCTAAGCAGTATGGAGAAAGCGGCAAACAAAGGTTTCTTTATTAAGAACATACAACACAGGAGTACTGAGAAATACAGGCATGTGTGTAACTGAAGATCCAGGTGTCCATCACAGCATGCTCTGTAAGCTTCGATGCTCAGGGAAACTGGTGTTTTCTCACATCTCTCCCTCAGCTCCAGGTTCTCACTGAGAAAGAAGTTTACGTCCTTCATTCTCTCATCAGAAGCAATAAATAGACTAGTTGAGAGGGTTTTCAAGTATATTTTATTGGTATAAAATCAAAATATGGTGATGTAATTTTCAGAACTATGTGAAAGACTGTCCCCTTGCAGTGTCTTTACTGTGAAGAGGAAAATGCTAACTTACCTACGAGAGCAATTTTTGTTTTTTGGGTTTTTTTTTTGTTTTGTTTGTTTTGTTTTTGTTTTACGAGACAGGGTTTCTCTGATTGTTTTGGAGGCTGTTGGTCCAGACTGGCCTCGAACTCACAGAGATGCCTCTGCCTCCCGAGTGCTGGGATTAAAGGCGTGCGCCACCACCGCCCAGCCTACGAGAGCAATTTTATACAGTATGAAAAAGAGTTCTTTATTAGACAAGTAAAAAGTCAGTAATATTTGTTACAGCTGCTGAGAAAATTGAAAGGCAGGAAAGACCCAACCATCTCTTTAAGGTTCTCCTTTATTAAAGGGAAAATAAGGTCATGGTTGTGCTAAAGGTTCTCCCACCACAAGGTCTTCGGCCTCCATCTTCCTGGTGGCCCCTCTACCTCCTACTCGGCCACAGTGGCTTTGCTTGTGCCTGGCACCAGCCTCACTTCCTGATCTGTGTGTGTGTAAGGCTGCCCATCTATATATTAGACATGATCTCAGGACATGACTCACAGCTAAAAACACAAGGAGCTAGTTTTATTTAAAATACATCCCAAGTTTCCATTTTTCTGAAATAAGGCAAACCCCCCAAAGTTCCTGTGAGCACCACTCTCAGCAAGACTTATTTCGAGGTCCCCAGGTGAATGAGCACCATGATGGTTGTATAGCTATGGAACAGGTCCTCTTCCTTTACCTCACTACACCGCCTCAGTATAAAGTTTCCAGTGACTATCCGGTCACATCCAATCTCCCCATTTCCAAAGAAGCCGAATAAGGGGACACTGGGAAAAAACTTTCTGAATGCATCAGCCTCCACATTGCCCTTGGCTCTGTAGTACTGGAAGCCCCGGCCAACGCACGCGAACATGAAGCCAATGGTGTTCTGTTCAGGGATGTTGGCTGCTTTGAGGCGCTGCATGGCCGCCTCTACGGTCTTGTCATCATTCACATCCTCACTGAGGAGAACCGTGGCACTCTGGATTCGGTGCCCACTAAAGGACAGTCCAACCACACCCGTGGCATCAATATTCAGAGGGTTCCTGGGAACAGAAAATCAACAGCTCCTGATAAACTAGGGCGGAGAGATTTGCAGACTTTGACAACTATGCTTTAGTCTGAGATATATCCTCTCAGACAGGGATTAAACTAAACAGTTATTAACAATAGGCAGATCAAAAAGAGGTGAATAACCATCTTTTTCAGCCACAAGTACAAAGCTAGCTACACAAAAGCTCTTCCTGGGTTACTACCCAGTAAGTTCCTATCTAACCCTTCTAACTGGAAGCTGGTAGGTTTATGTATACAAAGACATCCACCAGTTTTGTCAAGGTGGTGGTGGCAAGCACTCTGACACCTATATCCACTCTGACACCTATATCCCCATCCCATGATACCTACATCAAATATGAGTTACATCAGGACACCATCCCCCCTCACCGAATCCACTGTTATGAAAAAGATATATTTAAAAAATATCATGGGCCAGATGTGGTAGCACACACCTTTAATCCCAGCACTGGGGGAGGCAGGCAGATCTACAAAGTGCCATGAACACCTGACCCATGTATGTCCTCCAGGAAACATGGAAAAACTTTAAATGGCTACAGTCTACTCAAGAGAGAACTTGTGAACCACAAAGATCATCTTTGAGAGGTTAAAGTTTGCTTTAGATACAGGTATTCCATCTTCAAGTAACTTTAAAAAGATGAGCTTGCAAGTTTCCAACTGCAGGACTTTTGCTGGCTTGCTGCAGTCCCGCCCATGTGCAGCTTAGCATATGCCCAGACTCCATCATCAGTCTACTCTCAGCTCATTCAAAATGACTTCCATCCACACAAGGGCCACTGAAAACTTCAAAACGCTGCTTCAACCTCACCTCCTCTTCTCCTTTAAAAAGCTAGTCGTATTTATTTCTATGACACCACTATCTCCCAGTAAGCAACTCAACGCTATAGTGAAATAAAAACCATGTGCATTTATTTTAGCCTCATTAATGACCTCTTCATTTGCAGGAGCAACATCACAAAGAGGACCACACTGAAAAATATATCAACAGGCAATGCTGATGGAGCCCAACTCTGATGTTCTTAAAGGACAATAAATGCAAGTTTAGTTCTTTGACTGCAAGCTGAATTGTTTTCAGACAGCCTCTTGGCAACAGCACAATGAAGGAACTGATACATTAGCAATTCCTTTCCTTTTGTTTTTTTTAAGGCAGGGTATCACTTTGTAGCCCTGGTTGGCTTGGAAGTCATCAGTGTAGACCAGGCTGGCCCTGAATTCAAGAGATTCACCTGCCTCTGCCTCCTCAGAATACAGGGGTTAAAGGTGTACAGTGCCACACTCTGATTCCTCAAATTTGTTTGTAAAAACCCCAAGTCATGAGAACCTGAAATTGTTCCCATTCACCCATGGAAGAACAACAAAGTGCCCAGGCTTACTTCTCAGAAGTCAGTGAAGATAAGTTGTCCACCTGGCCTCCAGCCAAGATGATATTCATATTGCTGAAAGTGCTGACTACTCGCTGCAGATAATTACTGGCTCCCACCTTACAGCAGTTATAGCCAAAGACAAGGACCACCCGAAGCTCAGGGTTATCCAGAAGACCTGCAGAAGTGAGACATAGGACAGCCTTAAAACACAATGAGCTGTTAGTTACTCCTGCTGACCGGCACCAGTGTGTGCTGTCATGCTGATGCTCTTGGCTTTCCATCAATAAAAGCTAAATGACTATCTGACTATAATGCAGTCAATGCCTCACACAAGCAAGGACACAGTTACAGTCTGAACAGCAGTCCTAGCGGACCATGTTAGGGTGCTCCATACCCCAATTCCATGCATGTCAGTGACCTAGAGTTTATAATGTGATCTAAAAGCAGCTCTACCACTAGCAGGCAGCAGGGCTCAAGGGAGCCAGTAGCATCTCATTTCCAGAGCTCCAGGCTTCCACCCAAGTCTCCCACAGCCTGTTTTCACAGCAATAATCTGAAGCACCAGTATTGCAAATAGGTGGCTTCTAGGACAGGAAGAAAATGCAGTCCCTAACTACACTGATGTTTCCATTTAACTCAGCCACGTGACTTCCATCAGACAGGAGTGAAGATGACTCAGTAAGACTGAAGCAGGCTAGGTGGGAAGGGAAAGGAGCCCTGCAGACCACAGTGCTCAGGCTGGGCCAATGAAGAATCAAGACTCCCAGTATATTAACACCTAACCCCATGCTACTGACCTAGAGTTTTGTCTTATCCAGTGTAAGCCTGTCCTGCAACCAGCAGCCTTCCTGTGATTCCAGTTGGATCTCTTAGCAATCCTTTAATGATAGAGCTTGTGGAAAGACAAGGACGTGACTTTTTTCTGAGCAGCTCACATCCACTTTCCCTGAATGCCCCTCAACCTCCACGCTGAAATGTGCATTAAAAATCTCTTAATAAACTCCAACTCTGCTACACAGCAGTTCATCCTGGGATTCTTTTCTGTGCTGAAATCTAGGAAACTTGACCTTCAGGTCACAGCATGGAGCAGTATCTCCACCCTAATGCTGCTGGCAAGACAATCAATTACTGACAAATAACACTTTAGACTCTGCCCCTGGGCCAGTTCTAATTTTCTGTGTAGAAAACCACGCTGCATTCCAAGCCAGTTTTGAAGAGTTCTCCCTCTAACAGATGAGCCTGGCACATTGAAAGATGACCCTATTCTTTTGTAGAATAATCTGAGTAGGAAGAAGCCTGTGGAACAACAGTGAAGACAAGTTTAGGAAGAAGTGTCACTTCTAGGGAAGTGACTAACTTGGGACAATGGCATGGCTATGCACGAGAAGTCAGTGTGAAGAGACTGCAGGAGATGTGCACCTGACCTCAACCTCTGGACTCCACACAAATGCACCTGCAACATACACGCACATGGAAAAAGGAAAGTCTCAGTGAAGTCTGGAGGCTACCCCAAAGCCCCAGCCTGCTTTCCAAACAGTCCCACTGTGGGGACAGAGTGCCTGCCTGCACCTGTCCAGCCTCTTGTACACTGAGTCATGTGCAGAGCCCCCAGCTTTAACTGCCCACGCCTCACTGCTCTCTTCCGTCCCTTCCACCACTCTTACTCTCCTGTTTACACTGCTCAGGACGGTGTAAACGCTGTTCTCAGTGTGAATATTCCATCCGCTGAGCCATAAACCCAAACTTGCCTTTGCTGTTACAGCATTTTTACTACTGGTCTTTAAGTTGGGACAAGTTTAATTTTCCAAACCCATTTCCTTGTCTGTAAAGCAAAACTAACCTGTATAGGGTACAAGGACTCAACCATCGTTGACTTGTATATTAGCAACATAGAAGCGTGACATGTACAGAAGTGATCTGAGGAAATTACTAAGTGATACGCCTGAGTGCTGATGCATGTGTCTTCAGGCTAGCTCGCCTACACACAGACTTTGATGAAGAGTTAACACGAAGTAACTCTGATGAGCACAGTGATAGTGTAAGCCCAATCATCTACTCTGGAGATGGTGAAAAGCCTTTCCACTGCTTTGCTGGAGTAGCTAGCTGTCTACTGCAACAAGTCTTCCTACCAAAACTTACTTCAAACTCAACCAAACTTGCTTTCTCAGACTCTGTGAATATCCTAACATGTCTCCAAGTTCATGCCTATCTCTCCTAATGCCAACTTGTTTCTTCTAAAAGCTTACATAATAAATGGTTACTAGGAATATTTTTAAAAACTTAAGTTTTTCTGCTTTAAATGCCAAAATAAGGCAAAATTATTGGTAAGAACCTACTGAAGATCAAGAATTCCTTCAAAATTTAACTAAAATTAAATGCATGCATGTTGGTACCTTACCTCACAACTGTCTACACTTGCAGTTCCAAGGAATCTGATGTTCTCTTCTGCTCTCCATGGGCAGCAGACACACACACGGTACATACACAAGCTAACCAACAGAATACTTATCAAAAATATTCATATTTGGTCAGCTAGGACTTCATGACAAATAAAAAAATTTTAAACCAATTCTACCAACCACCAGCCTTGTTAACAGTAGCTTAGCAGCCGCTAGCTATCCAAAATTAAAACAAGTTAGTCAACAAAATGAGCGGTTAATAATAATAAATAGCAATGCCAGGTATATGCCATACACCTTTAACTCCCCAGCACTCAGGAGGCAGAGGCAAGAAGATCTCTGAGACCAAGGCCAGATAGAAGTACATAGTGAGACCCTGCCTCAAAAAAGCAAATAAATAAATAAAACAGTCAATAACAACTTACCCACTTCAGCAAGCTGATGTCGTTCAAGTGTTGAATTCTTGGGGTCCTTAATAAAATGAAAGGGCTGAATTTTTATTCCTTCAATTTGAGGGAATAATAAAGCAAAACCAGATGCTCCAATTTCAATTTCCTGAGGTCGATTGCTACCTGATCCCATTGGAGTCACTAGGGAGAAAATGACAGCTTCATGAGGACAGCCAATAGAAACTGGAGTTATTAAGAGCCTTAATCAACCCATTTCATCCTCCTAACTGCAGGATAGGCTATTATCAAACAACTGCTCTTAGAATAAACAAAGTTCTCTGGCAATTTTAGGATGGTGATCCCTGTACCATACTTTCAAATATATTCACAAGGAAATGCTTTTAACAGAGAAAAAGCAAGTGTCCATGCTGTCTGCAGTTGCTGAGTCTAGACAAAGGGAACTGCTATTCTTCCAGAGGATCAATATTCAGTTCTTGTCACCACATGGCTTGCCACAATTGTCTTAACTCCAGTTCCAGGAGATCCAATGCCCTCTTCTGGCCATGAGCACCAGGCATGCACACGATGCAGATATTTATGCAGGCAAAACACCATACACATCAATCTTTTTAAGTGGTAAGTTTCTAGAAACCCAAGCTAAAGTGTGTGTGTGTGTGTGTGTTATTCAAAGAGAAAAACCCAGAAGACAAACCCCACGTGATATACTATGAATTAAAAACATGAAAAGAAAGATGCAAGTTTATGATAAGGCCAGTGATGGTGTCTCAGTGGTTAGAACTATCGTGTACTCTGTGCGCTGTGAGGGATCTACATTAGGCTGAGAAGACACACCTTTGACCTCAGACAGACCATTCCAGAACCTGCAGTCATTCTCCACTCCTTCAGTAAGGGCAGTGTGACCAGCTTCCTCAAGCCTCTGCCACATGACTCCCTTACCAAGATGTACACTTGAACTGTGAACTAAGCAAGTTCCCCACCCTGACTGCATTTGGCAAGTATTTTGTTGCAACAGCAAAATAAACAACCCCTACAAAGCACAAGAGGAAAACCTAAACAGTGTTTAAATGTGAGCAGATGCACCACAGCAGAGTAAGCCAGCCATACGGTACCCACTAAGTACACAATCGGTCTTCAATACACCAGTCACTAGATTCAAAGAAAACACTCCAAGAAGATCTCCACACACTAGCCTCGCTAATATTCACACACTGTGACCCCAGTAGCAAGTATGCACAGCAACTGCAACCCTCATGGTATAACTGAAGAGCATCAGGAGAGAGAGAGACTCACACGATGTGACAGGGCTCATGTGGAGGGTTCACTGGGAGAAGGGAATGGAAAGAGGGGGAAAGACTGGTCTCTGGAGATGAGAGCAGTGGAAGAGAAGAGAAGAGAAGAGAAGAGGACAGGTCCTGCCTTTTCTGAGGGGATGCAGCACATGAGCCCAGAGGTTACTAGCCACATAGTCAATGAATGATGTGTCAGGACCGGAGCAGGTCAGAGAACTGCCTGAGTACTGGAAATCTCATGCGTACAGGGATGATGCATTCTTCCAGGTCCCCAAGGGGCAGGCCAGCCTAATGCCTGAATGCTAACACCTCAAACATTGCTCACAGAGTACAGGATGGTAGAAAGTTGGAAAACTTTTTTAGTTAAATATACTTCAGTGCTAAGACCCAACAAGTCCACTCCTTAAGTTTCAGAGAAACTTAAAACTTACACAAAAAGTAACAGCCTCATTCACAATACCTAAGACTCGAAAAACCATAGTCTATCAAAACAAGAATGGTAAAATAAATCTTGTCCCATTTATATCACAGAATGATGCAAACACTTAAATGAAGGGCTGGGGCACAGTTCAGCTGGTCAAACATCTGCTATACAGACATGAAGACCAGAGCCTTCTCTCCACAGCTGACCCCCGGATGAGCACTAAGGTCAGGCAATGGGAGAAGCAGAGAAGGGTAAATCCCTGGGGTTCACGGCCAGCCAGTCTAGCTAAAACAGTGAGCCTCATGCTCAGTGAGGGACCCTGGACCTCTGAAAGGCCTTCTCAAAAGACCAACTGAAGATACTTGACAGCTTATAACCTCCTCATGCACATGCGAGAGTGCGCGCGTGCGCGCGCACGCGCGCACACACACACACACAAGCTTTAAAGGAACTACTGTAATAATTACAAATAATTACATTATTTATAAATTTAACAAATGACTCTCAAAACATGTTAAAAATATTTATATTGAGAGCCAAAACACCAAAAGAAGAGCACCATTTGTAGGACACTGACCAGGCAAGACCATAGAAGTCAGGATAGGAGTTTTGGCAGGGGCTGTCAGGAAAGAGTAAAGAAACAGTTAGGCTCAAAGCACCAGCTATGAAGACCAGAAACCCATAAAACCACTGTCTTAGTCTCTGTTCTGTCATTGTGAAGAAACACCACTGATGTGGGATGTCCTTCTGTATGCTGTGAATATGCATTGCTTTTATTGGTTGATGAATAAAGCTGCTTTGGCCAATAGCCAAGGCAGAATAGAGCTAGGCAGGAAATCCAAACAAAGATAGGGAGAGAAAGAAGGTGGAGTCAAGAGAGTTGCCATGTAGCTGCCAGGGAAGCAAGATGTGAGGTAACAGACCATGAGCCTCACATAGAATAACAGGAATTTCTAAACAAAGAGTAAGTAATAGAAATGGGTTAATTTAATTGTGAGAGCTACTTAGTAATATGTCCGAACCACTGGCCAAACAATTATAATATTAAGCCTCAGAGAAGACGAGAAACCTCCAACTACACCACGACCAAGGCAATTCTTAGAAAAGAAAGCATTTAACTCGGAGCTTGTGTACAGTTTCAGAGTCTTAGTCCATGATCATCATGGCAGGAAGCAGGAGGCAGATAGGAGTGGTACTAGAGAAGTAGCTGGGAGCAGAGGAGACTGGGCCTGGCATGGGCTTTTGTGACCTTAGAGCCCATCCCCAATACAAACCTCCTCCAACAAGGAAATACCTCCTAATCCTTGCAACCCTTTCAAACAGTTCCACTCCCTGGAGACCAAGCACCTATGCGGACCATTCTTATTTAAATGATCACAAGCAGCTTGTAGAGGGCCCTGCAAACAAACACCAAAGGCCACACCTGACTGGAGCAGATGGAATGGTTTTTTAGCCCCAAACATAAGGCCACCAGGACATAAAGCAGCACATAGTCAAAGCAGCAACTAAAGGAAAGCTGCTACTGCTCCCCACTCACTGGCGAGGGCAGGGCCGGCTGCCACCCCAGGCTGGCCTTTCCTTTTCCGCCTCTACTCCTATAGCAGAAAACTTAAGGAGAAATATGGCTGTGTTCAAGGAAAGCCACAGCGATATAACAGACAGACAAGAAAAAAAAATGTGAGGAATGAGTGTTCTGCATCCAACAGTAACCAGTAATGATATGAAGGCTACCATGCCAACTCGAAAGTTGGAAGAAAACCACAGCCACTGCTATTGCTTTATTAGCCCAAGTATAAGGAGCTGGTAAGAGGAGAGAAGGACAGCCCCTATTCATTTGCAAACACTTGGAATCCTTTGGGTTTCACTGCACAAGACCCTGAAATGCAAACAAAGTCAGCATACTTGTGTGGGGGTCCAGGGTGATGAGGGTCTTTGTTTGTGCACCAGGCACTTTACCAACTGAGCCACCTGCAAGGCTCCAGAAGATAATAATAGCTAACACCTTATTGTTGTAAATGCCACAGATGTGTCCAGTCAACACAGTCCTCCAAAGAAGGTACTAATATCATAACATCATCCATTTCACTGGAGGAGACTGAAGTCTCATGGATGTCAGGGAAGCTGTACAAAGTAACACAGACACTAAGTGGTACAGTTGGAGTCCTAATGGTTATCTTAACCACTGGACCACCGCCACATCACCAGGAAACAATTCCAATAGTAACAGCAAAAATTCACTAGCTATGTGCCAAGGTGGCAGCATGCAGAGAAACAAGTATCTAGGTAAGATGCATTGTAACTTGTCGCTCTCAACTGCCCTATCTGAAAGAAACAAGAGTGGGTGAACTGACCAGCCTGGAATGGCTACAGGTCTTTCCTAATCTGGGTAGGGTAGAATGAGATCCTTCCCTCCCGGTGAAAGGCTAAGAAGTCAGGGATTACATGTTGCTCTTAGGCAGCCTTGAGATCTGAACTATGAACCTCAACAACTTCACAGATATTAAGTACAATGTACCACCATGACAAGGATGACTAATGCTATTGTTTTTAGGTAACCAGAAATGTAAATGTGCTTTTCAGTTACAAATATTTCAGCAATCCATGGGATCCCATATAAAACTAAGCAAAACACAAATTGTTAACTTCTCTCACCTACAATTCCTGGGGTCACAATCCCAAGGACTTGACATTGCTTGGGGAACAGTTTCTCAAGGGCAACTGCCATCTCCATAGTGGTTCTTTTCCTTGCTGTAACAATACAGTAGCACAATTATTAAATATCCATTTTTCATTGTCAAATATGACAGTGTTAAAAAACAAAACACAACAAAGCAATATTTAACAATCAAACAGGTTATGAGGCTGGGGACATTGTTCAATTGGTAGAGTACTAGCCTAGCATGCAAGAAGCCCCAGGCTCGATCATCGGCCACAATGCTGCATAAACCCCAAAGTGGTGCATGCTGTAATCATAGCACTTGAAGGCGGAAGCAAGATGATCAGAAGTTCAAGGTCATCCTTGGCTACACAGTGAGTTTTGAGGCCAGCCTGAGCTACATGTGACCTTGATTCAAAGAAAAAGGAAGAAACGAGGGAGGGAGGGAGGGAGGGAGGGAGGGAGGGAGGGAGGGAGGGAGGGAGGGAGGGAGGGAGGGAGGGAGGGAGGGAAAAAGGAGGGGGAAGGGAGGGAGGGAGGAAGGAGACACTTTATAAGAAAGCCTGAACATTGATTAAAATAACAGGTTTCCCCATTTTTGTGCCTGCTTTATTCAAATTCTAAACCTACCCTTCATCATCACTAGCTTGCCCGTGCCTTTTGTTCATATAATACTATTGCCCAGCCGGACGGTGGTGGCGCACACCTTTAATCTCAGCACTCGGGAGGCAGAGGCAGGCCGATCTCTGTGAGTTCGAGGCTGGGCTGGACCGATAGCCTCCAAAACAATACAGAGAAACCCTGTCTCGTAAAAACCAAAAATAAAATAAGATACTATTGCCCAAAGGCATCAAATTTGGCTCAGCACTGAGTCTGAGAGGTGCTGTTTATTGGATCTCTCTGTTCAGTGGCTGTCATAGCACAACTACTACTTGACTCCAGTCAGAGTCAAACCAGACAATGTCCAAATCAAAGTCTGGGCCAAAGGGTCCCATCTTGGATTCTTGGTCTGTATTTCCCCTTAGCAAGCCAAGAATGCATAATGCCTGTAAATAGCTTTAGAACATCATAGCACTGCATTATACATGAACAGACTTGGATAACCAAAGCCAGGCTCTTGTTTTAATAAAGAGAAGAACACCTGGAGGATTAAAGTATTTCAAAGCAAGAAAAACATCTGAAAAACCTCACTCCAGTTGCACCAGGAAGTCAGACAAGGGCTCTGCAGCTCAAGTCAGATACAGGCATGTGTACTAGGAGAGGTGCCGAAAGGCTTACTCTCAGGGCTAGGACAACGTCGAAACAAAAACAAACACCAAAAGCCCAACCCTTTCTTCTATACCTCTTTTATGGCCACGGCACTCTTCCAGGCTAATGAAGGTTTCAGAATCTGCCATATAAAGAACTGTCTGTGGTAAGATGCGAACATTCTGCAAAGAGAAAGAGGATTGGATCCTGAGTCTGTGAACAAGGCTGGGCTCCCCAGGTGTCCATACTGCCTCCATCCCAGTCCTCTTACTTCTCAGGGCCACTCCTACTCATCAGCTTACTTACTGAGTAGTAGTTTTTTTTTTTTCAGTTCAAGAAGTTAATTTACTCTTTTAGAACAGACATTTGGCGAACCAGCTAAAGCTGCCTCTCACTTTACTGAACAGTAAATGGCAATAGGATGCTCTCAACAGAGCAGGTGTGCACAGGCTGTTCCCTGCTTTTCTGGCTTTCACTGCCAGCTTCCACCTTAGTATTACCAGACCTGCCCACACGAACAGACTCCCTTGCTACCAAGCACCTTGAACTTGTTCCCTTTAAGTACCCTAGAACAAACCTATACCACACACACCCTCTGAACCTGGGACCTCCACTCGACAACCTCTACAGCCCTGCCATTCTTGTTTGTGCTGTCTCCACTCTGAGCAGGCTTCTTCAGACCACTCACTGGCTTTCCTGAGCCTCACGTTATACACAAATGTCGGAACAGCTGAACTAGAAGGAAGCAGAGACCTCTTTCAAGTGTTTTGCCTATCAGAATGGAATCAAGTGCAGCCTATGGATCGCAACTTTGATGCTTTGCATCCCGGGGAGGTTTACATGTTTCAGAGTAGGTTCCAGATAAACTCCTGAAAGACACTGAATACTATGATGTGGGCTGGGTAAGACCTATGGATACAAATTCTTGGCTTCACCCGACATTTTTTAAGGTAACCAGGTGCCACAATTTAAAAGCCCCAGAATTTTCACATATTGGGAAATCCTTTTTGATAAAACCCTAGCAACACTGCTTGCCTTTCAGCTATGGCTAGGCAAACCTGCCAGTGCCCCCAACTCTGCTGAGCCACTAGACCCACCTCGGTTTCTTCCTTGCCCTTGGATTATCTCAGTCTGCAATTCCACAGACTGAAGCAGTCAAGGCCTGGTCTCGCCTCTGCCACAGCCAGCAGGGAACTTTCACAGAGTAGTCAGGCCTTGAACGTCTGTCTTATGTTTAAACAATATACAAGCCTCATCTAGAGGTTCCAGGATTCTTTTTTCTTGGCACGCACACAACTCCATTTCCTTCCGAATACTCACTAAAAATTGACTATGACAAGCCTCAAAATGAAACACTGTCACTATCGTATATATAAGGCACCTGGGCCTACACCATTCAAAAAAGTTACAAAAGGCAAGTTATCTTACAGAAGTTCAAAATAATTTCTATGAGGAAGTAAAGCAATTACCTTATATCTATTAAAATATTCCATCCATGAGATGATTTGGAAAGCACAGGGAAAGCAGCATATATGACTTAGACACCATGCTTCTGTCTCACCATGAGTTTAATTTCTTTAAGGCTACCATGTGGACTTTCATAGTGATATTATGTTCTTAGCACCCATTGAAAACTTATAGTTGGATACCAGAAGTAAAATCTTTTTGCCATTTAATCCTTACAAGACCCTGTAAGGATACAAGATAATTATTGTTCTCCCTTTTCAATTTATGGAAATGGAACCTAAGGCTCAGAGAGGTCAAAGCCATATTGCTAGTTTGAGCCAAAATAGGGGTTATCATCTAAGACTCTCTGTATATAACACCCACTGCAACATATGAAATTCATAGCCATATAAGAATGGTGCCTATTGTAGTAGAGAGTTGCAAACAACCATAGGAAGTTAAAAAGAGCATTAAAGGAAGAAAAAAAAAAGCACACACAATTCTATTCCCCACAGGCAACTTTCATTAACATTCTAGCTTCTTTATGAATCTTCCTTTATATTAATCTAAATTATGCAAATATATAATCTAAATTATATAAACATATAATCTAATACTTTGTTTTCCAACAATTAAGCAATTTTATTTCTTGTCTGCATGTTAAGTGTGTGCCATGCACGTGCAGGTGCCATCAGAAACCAGTTGTAGTTACAGGCAGTTGTGACCCATTAATGTGGTTTCTGGGAACTGAACTTGGGTGCTCTGGAAGAGCGGCCAACTCTCTTAACTAAGGAGCCATCTCTCCAGCCCCTTGATGAAGACTTTCTTATCACTGAATGTACCTTGTGATTTATAATTTAATGACTACCTCACTGCACATGATACTCCAAAGAACACGTCTGTGGAAAAGGCTTTTGCTAGTTAGCATTTTGAACTTTCCCACATAACAGATTTTGAAAACAAGAACAACAAAACCAGACTACAGGGGTTTGATCAATGTATCAGAGCAATAGTACTCCAACAGGCCTGGAGCATGCAGGCAAGCGTTGTGGGTATGAGTTCAAGAGTCCAAAAGAGCAGAGAAGAAAACCTCTATAAGACAGCATGGAAATGAAGACACCACACTAAGGACAGGCACGTTAAAGATAAGAGTCAGGACTGGAGAGATGATGGAGAGATCAGAGCAACAGAGGACAGAACTCAAACAGCTCACAATCAACTGTTAACCCCAGCTCCAGAGGATACAATGCATTCTTCAGGCCTCCATGTACACACATACAGACAGACAGACACACCCATACACACACACACAAATAACATCTTTTTTTCTTTTTTGAAGAACCAGATTTGCTGGCTGTCAAAAAGGGAGATAAAAATAATAGCAGAGAGGAAGTGAGACAAAATCTTATTTGGACTAGATGCATACTGACCGAAATACAGTTCTAGATACATCTGACCCCTCTGCATCTCTCTTCATTCAAGGATTCAAATGTAGTTATTAAAAAAAAAAGTGGGGGCATCTGTACTGAGCATGTACAAGCTTCTTTCCTATCATTATTTACTAATATAGTCTACTTAGAGAAATTCGGCATAAATAATCTAGAGATTTGAATTTAATTGTGAGGGTGGGCTATACAGGTTAACACAAACACTTAGACTTTATAAGGGACTTTGGCATCTGGGGACTTCAATACCGGGCAATATCAAAGAACAACTGCACATGCAGGTATATGCATATATTCCTATCTGGGCTGGGGGTAGCAGACCTCAACAGCAATGAGTACTTACACAGCACAGACCTAACATGCTAAATACCACGTTCCACTAAAAGAAACCAAGACGATTAGAGAAACCACTAATTTCTGGAATGAAGCAGGCAAAAAAAAAGGAAGAAGGAAAGAAAGGAAGGAAGGAAGGAAGGAAGGAAGGAAGGAAGGAAGGAAGGAAGGAAGGAAGGAAGGAAGAAAGCTAAAAACATCTAGTACCAAAATAGAAAGGTCATCCCTAAAAGACTCTGATTCTGGATTGAGAGTTCGATAGCTAAACCAGACAGTGTGAGCACAAGATAGATACAGTAAATGATGTATCTTTGAGTAAGAGAGCAACAGTGTGTGAAAATATTTCAGATAGAAAGAGAGGTCAAAGTTTCAAAGTTTCTATCCATAAATATTTACTAATTCCAACAAGACAGAAAATTGAAGGGCAGAGGCTTCTGGCAGACACCACTTGAATCAAGTGATTTAAAGTAATAGGACAAAAGAAAACCGGAGGCCACCTGGAAAGATGCTGATCTAACACACCTCAGTTACACTCAGTTTGTGAATGTTATACAAATCAACAAATTAATCTTCTTAAGTGTTGAGGCCGGTAAAGTCAAGCTGGAGAAAGTAAACAAATCAAAGAAACATGTCTTTTAGTTAACATCACTGGGAACTGAATCCTTTTGCTATCAAGAACAGTACTGGGGCAAAGTCTGAATGGGAGTCTGAAAACTAGAGAGTAGTATGTTTGCAGTCTCTTACTGAAGGATGTGTGCGTACCGTCAGCTTTTATTTTGGTGCTAAAATGATCTCCAATTAGACTAGTGAGAGTCCCTTCAGGCTAGCTTCAGATGTCCTTTTAGGTAATATATTATCTTGATTTAGTTTCTGCTGTTGTGGTAAAGACCATTACCAAAAGCAATATGTGGAGTAAAGGGGTTATTTGGCTCACACATCCGTGGTGATAATAATTCACTGAAACAAACAGGGAGGAACCTAGAGGCAGAAACTGAAGCAGAAGGCATACACGGGTGATCTTCACTGGCTTGCCATCCATGGCTTGCTCCGTGTATTTTCCCATACACGCCAGGACCACGCACCCGGGGGTGGGCTGGCCCTTCTCACACCAACCATTAATCAAGAAAACACCCTACATACTTGTGGGTAGGCCAGGTTGATGAGACACTTGCTCCCTCGAGGCCCCCTCTTTCCAGCTTGTGTTAAGTTGAAAGAACGAAGACCAAAACAAAAAAACCTCATCAACATATGTATTGATAATTTCCTAATCTGGAAGCTACCTTCTGGTTAAATAGAACTTTCCTGTTTGCATATTATACATACAAGGGATAAAGAGCAATAGACCATCAAATTAGCAATTTCCTCTCAAGGGTCCCTGCCACTCTGTGAGATACCGGAGCTTCATTGCCAGCTCCATAGTAAGGCTTCAGCTCCCTGTATACTGACTTTCCTGGATCCAGGGAAGAAAATGAGAAAAAGGACTGTGGCTTTATTTAGGTAGAAGTTTCCGTTCTATTTCTAGTGTGTGATCCTGGGCAAGAATGCCTTCATTGCAAAACAGAGACAAGTGAAGGGTCTTCACTTCACCTGTAAACTTCAACTGCCCAACATCTAATAATGAATGAATAAACCGCAGCTTGCCCTTACAAAACCTGACGGTTATTACAAAGTCCAGACCACGAGCAAAGGTCCCCAAATTAACAAAAGCAAAGGCTTGACTCACAATCGTGATTTTTAAAAAAGTTCTCAAAGATGGTTCACCAGCCCTGCAAAATGACTGTCCGCCGCACACACCCATACTTGCCTCAAGCGCCTCTGCTACCACGCGGACCAAGCAATGTCCTTCCAGGTGGCCGGCCTCCGCCACGCCCGCGGAGATCCAGGTCACGCTGCGGTGGGTCCGCAGCACTCTGCGCACACACTCCCTCCATAGGCGGCACACTCTGAGGACGCAAAAGCACAAAAGGTTGCCACCGGGCGGATCGTTCCGCCGTCAGCAGCGTTGTAGCGGTCCGGGCAAACCTGCCACCCACGGGGACGGAAAGTCTCCTCCCGCCCCGTTCTCCCTCACCCGGCTACCCGCAGCAGCGCCTTGGCGGGCAGGAAGGAGAACACACGCTCCACCACCTCCGCGAGGTTACTCAGCACGTAGGTACTTCGAGGGTCAGTGACAGAGGAGGAGCCGCCGCCACCGCCACCGCCCACCGGCTCCATTCCTCGCCTACCCGCCAGAAACGCTACGGAAGCTCGCAAGAATCCGAGCGGCTGGCGCACCGCCGCACACCCGAGCCCACTGCGCAGGCGCGCAAACCACTTCCGGCAGCCAGCTTCCGGCATTGGACTTAAGGCAACAACGGTGCGCCTGCACTGTTCCGTCCAGAAAGGTACGGTGCAGCCTGGCCTTTGAACCGGCTGCAAACACTCGATTTATTCGGTGCATCTGGCTAACACGTTAGCCCTTAAGTTTTAAACGAGTAAGCATTTTTTAAATAGCACTCGCCGTTCTTTGGCCACTAACTATAATTACTGCTAGAAGCACACCCCAAACCAGGCATCTCCCATAGGAAGTGTTATGCTTTGCCAGATCTTCATCGCAGGGCTACTGAACCACAGGGGCGAAGCCCAACAGTCGGTTTTAACAGTCACTCCGGTGTTCTCGTACATACTCTGAACCACAAAGGAAAGAACAGTAGGTGCTTCATTTCTACTGAATTCAGGTTCCTTGAGTGAGGGGGCTGTGGTCACCTGACCTGTTGCTTTTTGTTTTGGCCTCACGTGGCCGTGGTGGTGCAAGTTGGCAATCCAGCGAGCTGGAGACAGGAGGTTCACAAGCCGAAAACAATCTGGGCTCCCCAACCCCAAAATATTTTAAAGTAGATAACCTAAACATGTTAGCACCTTAGGGGGTTTTGGGGTTTGTTTTTTTTTTGGTTTGTTTTGGTGTCCCGTCCTCCCCCCCCCCGCCTTGCTGTAGAAAAACTATTAAAAGCTCCCTGACCTCAGTAACAAACTGCCACTTTATTCTGGAAACCTTTCTGATACTTAATAGCAAACACATGGATGTCATACAGTCTCCAAAAACTCTACTGCTAATAAAACCCCAGCAGGGTGCTAAAAAGAAGGTTCAGCTGTTAAGAGCACTACCTGCTCTTCCAGAGATCCTGATTCCCAAAAACCACAAGGTGGCGCTCAGCCATCTATAACGGGATCTGGTGCCCTCTTCTGGTATGCAGGAACACATGCAGTACAGAACACAATATTTACATAATGAATTAAAAAAAAAAACCCAGCAGGTCTCAGGGTTCCCTGGAGTCCTCAAGTTCTATTTTCAAACTACCCTATGGATCCACTGCAGATACAGCGACATGTGAAGAGGACTAGGGAAAAGTGAGGCCTGTGTTTAAGAGGACTTCTAACGATTTCCACACCTAAGGGGATCTTCAAAGAACACTGTTTCTGAATGAAGTAGGGTGGATGGCATCCACACATATAATATTCAAACCAAAGATGAAACTGGCAAAGGAAATTTCAATCAAAGAGAGAAAAAGACTATTATCCAAACATACTGAGCCTAGAGCTTTTCTTCCTCAGGGCTCCTTATGAGATATACTGATAGTGGTATGTATAAGGACCATGAATATAAAAGAGGGAGCTTGCAAGCAGTACCCTGAGAAAAATTAGGGATATTAATTGAAATAGCACTTGAGTCACAAGTTGCCAGCCAGCCTGGGCTGGAGAGTGGGACAATCAAAAACAAAAAACAAACCCACATGGGTCTGAATTTAAAGAATGTAAGGGGAATGGCTAAGAGAAAATGAGTGCACTATGTATGTACATACCAATTCTAGGTTGCCTCCCTGTCTCATTAAATCAGTCTCATCTCTAACCCTGAAACCTTCCCACACCCATCACCCTACACTAGAAATTCATTAAAGCCTAAAGACACCTGAATCATAGCATTTCTTATGAGGGAAAGGTGACAAAGCGATTTTTAAATGGTTCTTTATTCATAAACTTGATGCAAGTTTACAAAATTTACTGTACATTGCCAAATAAATCTGCAATGAAAAATAAAATCCAAAAAACAAAGCATGCCAAATGTGCAACTGTCAATCTGCTAGCCATTAGGATATTAAAGAATTCAATAATGTATTCATGATTTTGCCTTAGGCTTAAGGAACTTTCTGATGCTTTGAAGAATTCTGCCTTGTCACTTGTTATCTGAGCACTGGCAATCACTTATTTAAAGGGAATACCAGGAATCTTAACCTGTCCTCTTAACCAACAGAACAGAATCAGGAGACATGAAAAACAAACACAAAATGCACAAGTCAAGTTTCCTGAATGTGGTTTACAAAGTTTAAAAAAAAAAAGCTCAAATCAAATGTATACACCTTTTGACCTGGGTGGTGGTGGCACATGTCTTTAATCCCAGCACTCCTCTGTGAGTTTGAGGCTAGACTGGTCTACAAAGCACATTCCAGGACAGCCAGAGCTGTTACACAGAGAAACCCTGTCTTGAAAACCAAAACCAAAACAAAAAAAGAGAAAACAAACTTTGTACTGGTTTGTGCAGGAAAATGTGCTTCTGGGTTTCTTTTTAAAAGTGCTTAATAGCTTGAGTTTATATTTAAATCAAAGTTAGGATTAAGAAACTATTATCATCCAAAGAGGGCTGATTTAGGTAAGGCAATAAAATGGAAAGAACATTGATTTGTGTCACATTTTATAAAAGAATTAACATATGCTGAATTCCTACTGGTCTTTTGATGTAAAAGCCACTGTATGACTACAGCAAAAAATTTCAGGATCTCCAATTTAGGTATCTTTTATACTTTTTCTCAAGGAGTCTGTCTTTGTGCCAATCACTTCACAAGTGTATTAGTTTATCAATAATTGCAACACCCCGTTAATAAGTGGAAAGGTAAAATGACCTCATACTTTAGACCTTCAGGCTCTATACTGTGGCTCTTCCCAAGAAATGTTGAACCAGCAGGAGGCAGGTTCAGCCCAGCAGGACTCTGCCACCCCAGTGGAAATTACTGCAGATAAATGGCTGGCTCACTTTGCTTTACCTAATATGATACAATACAACAAAGATCATACTTCCAGAAACAGTTCAAACCTTCACACAACCATGAAAAAGTTAACAATTTAATGAAGAGGTTTCCTGTCATAATTTTGGCAATAAAAAGATTTCAGACCTGAAAATGCTATGGTTTAGAAGACCTAAAATTCCTAAACCAGTATTGACCATCAGTTAAAACTTTTATTGGCTCTAAATGAACAGGATTTTGCAAATCTTCATACCCCATAGGCTCAATATAGGAAGGTTACTGTAAATTCACAGCTGCAGCAAACTGATGCTGACTTCCCTGCTTGCTTAAAAGATTTCACTTTTCAAGAAAGAGGTGGTAGGGAGTGGCTACTGTGTATACTTATCAGGAAAAATACAGTAAGGGCCCCGCTGTTCAGTCCAAGATACCTAAAGTGAGCAAAATGAAAAGGCTGTATCTGGATGTCAGTTGACAGATTATCCACTAAATGATCTATTAGCTAATGTCTTCGGTACTGCTGTTATACGGGCACTCAAAAGCTTATGTCTGCACGTTGGAACAATTTTCTTTAAAGCAACATTGGTCCAGACATATGTCAGCATAGTTAGCCATCTTCCTTTGGAGGTGTGTACCAGCCTGAAATAAAATGGAAAAAAAAATAATTAACTACTTCAATCCCTGAAGCAACTAGGAAAAGGCACTACTGAGATCGGTCCAGTATTTAACACTACTGTAGAAACTTAAACTTGCTTTTTAGTTATTAACCCAGCATTCTGATATGTTCACAGTCATTGCTTATGAAAAGCACAGTTGCTTTCAACATGTCTATATGAAATGGTATTCCTAGCTGATAGTGACAGTATGGAATAACAGTAGTCTAATGCTAACCTTCCACTTCAATAACGTATTTAAAAGAAACTTGGCAATTAGAATTAAAGAAATACTGGTAGGTAAAGTGCTGTCATCATATTAAAATTCTAGCTATGAAAGACAGTCCATCACAGTTAGTAATCTCATAATGTATGTCCAAATTCAAGTTACACATGATAAACACACAATTTTATTTGTCAATTTAAAACAAATAAAAAGATGTAAAACTTTGGAAAATAGAATTGCTCTTTCAGATTCTGAATCCACTGCTCTTTCATCAACACAAGGTACACACACACACACACACACACACACACACTTTCTATAAACATCTTTGAATGCCAATTGTAGGGTTTGCCTTAAGAGAGATTAAGGAGGGCTGCAGATGGCTCAGTGGTTAAGAGCATTGGCTGCTCTTCCAGAGGAACCGGGTTCTATTCACAGCAACCACATGGCAGCTCACAACTATCTGTAACTCCTGTTCCAGGGGATCCAATAACCTCACACAGACACACAATTGGGCAAAACACCAATGTACCTAAAATACAAGTAACCTATTTTAAAAAAAGAAAGAAAAAGAAAAAAAGGACACAAACATACAAAATGACCGTTGCTCATACTCCATACAAGTCTAAACTCTCATAGAAACCCAATTAGATGCTCAGTCATGCCTGGTACAAAGCAGGCTTTGAAACATACTCATCTGATATACTAGAAATGATTATCAGGAAAGCCTGGACTTAACCTCATATTGTAAAACCTTATTTTGAAGCTTCAAGATTTGGTTTTGAATACTATTTCTAAAAGGAATCACTGAAAAAGTGGAAAGTTGGCACTGTCATTAAGGTGGTGGCACACGCCTTTAATCCCAGCACTCAGGAGACAGAGGCAGGCGGACCTCTGTGAGTTGGAGACCAGCATGGTCTACAAGAGCTAGTTCCAGGACAGCCTCTAAAGCCACAGAGAAACCCTGTCTCAAAAAACAAAACAAACAAACAAAAAAACCAAATTGAGTGTAAGACACAAATCTAAACTTACAAACTAGCATATATGTATGTGCACCACTACACTTGAATGTGCATAGGCCAGAGGTAAACATCCCGTGTCTTCCTCAATTGTTCTTCCCCTTTGAGACAGGTCTCAACCTAGAACTCAGTAATTCAGATTGGCTGGCTAGAGAGCCCCAGAATCTTCCCTTCTTTGTTTCCCCAGAGGTGGGATCAGAGGCATCCACTGCCATACCTGGATTTCCACATGGGTTCTGGGAACAAATACAGGGCTTCATGCTTGCATGATTAACTCCTCAGCCTAACTAACACAGTTCTAGAAAGTTAAGACCATTTGCTACAGATAC